CTCCTCCTCCCTGTCCTGCCCCTTCCCCTCCCCCCGCTGCTCTCCTTTCCTCCCCTCCTCCTGCTTCTCGTTTTTCTGTTACTGCCTTCTCCTCCGAATCCCTCCCCCTGCCCGGACGAGAAGGGACGAGAAGGGAGGAGGAGGAGGAGAAGGAGGAGGAGGAGAAGAAGAAGGAGGAGGACTTGGACTTGGACTTGGACTTGGACTGGGACTAGGACGGTGGCCTGCCTCCGAAGAGGCAAGCCCACGAAATAAGAGATATAGGGCAAGAAAGGGGTAACAACGCTTGGCGCGAGCCGCTCACCTGAGACAGACCCCAACACCGGGGAGCACGGGGGGCCACGAGATTGGCCGAAGAGGCATTCACACATCGGAAGACACCGCAACAAGAATGAATGCGCGGCTGAGATGCGTTTGCCGCGTCTCCCCAGCAGGAGCGAGCATCAGGGTGCAGGGTGGGGGACCAATGCCAGACCAGGAGACACCACGGTTGGGTCCCCCAGCTCATCAGACGGCCGCGTCAGTGCTGGCAGGACAGGGCGAGTGGACTGTTTACTCTTGGGGCCCAGTCCCTGCATCGAATTCACGAGCCTGTACTCGCCGATGGACGATTCAGGACGCCTGTTACACAATGTGTGAAGGTTCCCAACATTCGTGGGCGAGTACGAACCACACAATTTACAGAAGACGTACCTACCAACACGCATGACTACATGGCCGAACCAATGGGGGGCCGGACAAGGGCCCTATACAGCACGAATTTGTAATGGCTGGAAGCCCAACAGGCTATGCACCCAAAGCGCTGCTCAGAATAGTCTCATGCTAGCTCATGTGGAACTCCCTTAGGCAGCATCACAACATCCGCTGGGGGGTGCAGACAAGGAGGGTAAACGGCCCGGGGAGGGCGAGGAATCTCATTGAAGCGCGGAAGAACACGAGACATTACAAAACCTATGTGTTTGCCAATGTGCTCTACCGAAATACGCGACCTACTCAGACGTTCCGTAGCAGCTGCATCAACAAGACGATGCCGAGCACCAAGCTTAGCAAACCTGTCAGTATGACAATATCCCCTTTCGTTAGGCAGGCTGCCTGGGAAGGAGAAGAGACAGTGAGGTGGGCCTTCACCTTGTGAACTCGAATGCTATCGTAACCGATGTCGGCAGCTTCCGCATGGATGTGTGCGCATATGCCCGAGTGGGGGCTCCAACCAGAGACAACATGAGAGCATTGGGCGTGCCAAAAAACCTACCACCCACTGGCAGTCGCTGTCATAGACATGCCTGCCGCTTGAATCTGGCAGCGCATGCAATAGGAAAAGTAGCAACGCCAAAGTTCCCGCGCCAAGCACACATTGATGAGCACCAAGGTAAATACCGTAGGCGGAGACGCGCGCCTCGCCGGATGGCCCCACAGCAACCGCAGAGAAGCCGCAGCGCAATGCTCTCGGTGAAGGGTCTCAGAACCTGAACCGCTGCCAAAGACAGGAGACGCAAGCAGAGGCGAAGCCTGCGGGCCACCGACAAAGAACCATAAAATGTCCACCTCCATAGCTGGATGTGGCAACAACACGCTCTGGATCAGGGACCAAGGTGGAGTACCAAAGCGGAGGAGGAGAAGGAGGAGAAGCGGCATCAGCAGCAGCGGAAGCAGCAGGAGGACGAGAAGGATGCAGGGCAGAACAAAATGAAGAGGAAGGTGAGGAGGACAGTGAGAAGACGATCGACGGCAAGGAGGAGAAGGACAAAGGAGTGGACGCCTGAGGAGGAGGAGGAGGAGCAGAAGGAGGAATGGGGATGAGGAGAAGCATAAGGAGCACTGGGGAGAGGGAGAAGTGGGAGGAGAAGGAGGAGGGCGAAGGGGAGAGAGGAAGAGGAGACGATGGATGCTGAGAAGGAGGAGGGACAGCAGGAGAGACGAGGATGGCCCCCTCCTGCTCCTGCTCTTCTCCCTCTCATCCCCGTCCCTTCCTCCTCCTCCTCCGCCTCCTCCTACTCCTCCTCCTTCTCCTGCGTCCATCTTCGCTATCCTCTTGCTCTCCTCCCTGGGACCCCCTGAAGCCATCGTGAGCCCCTTGGTGCCACCAGCACCGAACGAACATCCTCACCGATCCTCAGAAACATCCGCTCCCACCTTAACAAGCAGATGTCCTGCTCCTCCCCCCGCCTCGTCGTCCACCCTCCTCCAATTCATCCGCCCCCTTCTCCTCCATCCCTCCTCCATCTCCTTCTCACTCATCCTTTCCCCTTCGGCGCACCACCAAGGGTGTCGGTCGGGCTGGCCAGACAGACCGCCCAGAACTTCCTCGCCGCTTCTGATCCTGAAGCCTGACATGCCCAACTGTTGCCTGAAAACGGTAAGCCTGTTCCCAACCATTATGTGGTGTTGGGCCCTCGTTTCGAAGATACCGTCCCCGCGTCTTCCCGTCCATCCCTCCTCCTCCCTTCAGTCCTCCTCCCTCCTCTCCCTCTCTGCCTCTGCCCTGCGCATGCCCATGTCGGCGCATCCCTCACACATCTCGTGGCCTCATAGGAACATCCACCGAAGGTCCAAATGGCTGCGCTCGCAAGCCTTCTCGACACCATGCCGGCACACACACACACACTTCACACGTTTTCGTGGCCCTGTAGGGAGCTCCACCGAAGGCCGCAACGGCTGCGCTCGCATACTTTCTCCACGCAATTTCGGCGCACACCTCACGCGCTTCGTGGCCCCATGAGGGGCCTGCAACGAAGTCACCAATGACTGCGCTCACAGACCTTCTCCACGCCATTTCCGCGCACCCCTGGCACGTTCCGTGGCCCAATCAGGAACTCCACCGCCACCCCCAATGGCTGCGCCCGCATACCTTCTCCGCATCATTTCGCCGCACCCCTCACACGGTTCGTGGCCCCACGGGGAACTTCCATCAAAGGCCACGATGGCTGCGCTCGCACACCTTCTCCACACCACCTCGGCGCACCCATCGTACGCTTCGTGGCCCAACAGACATTTCCACAGAGTGCCAAAGCGGCTCCGTTCGCATGACTTCTCCACGCAATTTCGGCGCACACCTCACACGCTTCATGGCCCCATAGGGACCTTCACCGAAGGCCCCAGTGGCTCCGTTCGCAAACCTTCTCCATTTCTGCGCGGCATTTCGACGCAGATCTCACACGTTTCGTGGCCAATAGGGGGCTCCACCGAAGGCCCCAGTGGCAGCGTCCGCAGACTTTCTCCACACCACATCTGCACACCCCTCACACATTTCGGGGCCCCGTCGGGAGCTCCTCCACAATCCTTCATGGCAGCGTTCGCACACCTGCTCCACACCATTCGGGCGCACCCCCCGCACGATTCGTAGTCCCATAGGGACCTCCACCGAATGCCCAAATGGCTGCGTTCACAAACCTTCT